GTCAAATAAAGCAAACACGTATTATAATGAAATTTTATGTGAGGATTCTCTGAGATTAAAGTTTCTCCTAGTTCCAGTTCTTTTTTAATATTAACAGGAATTCTTTTCCTTTATTAAAACATTTTTTGTTGTATTTGAAGCCGTAAATTTAAACACTGAAACCATGACATATTATCTTCTCTAGATCTGATATTTTTTATCTTCTGCTGATTCACTGAGTCATCCGTTTCATTTGAGGCTCATTACCACTTTAAGAGCAGCCACTTCAGTTTGCTTTTTAAGCAAGGATAAGATTTGCTTTAAGTTAAGTCGTGAAACCCACAAAGTGTATTTATTACCAGGCTTTTCCGCTTTGCGCAAACTGGAGCAGAATGATATTCTTTATGCCAGCAGTAGCCCCATTAGTGGGATGCCATCATCTTCCTGGATAACACAGACAAGTGTGTAGTGGAGGACTTGCCTGAGAACTTGTATGCGACACACCAGCAGCCCAGCGGGAGACTCTGATAATGAATTTGTGTCTTGAAGCATGTGAAGCCGAGCAGCGGGATGCAACATCACACTTGATTTTTGACACTATTTACAGCATCCATCTTTGTTGGGTTCTACTTTCAACTTTTATAAAGGGTCTAATCAGAGGTTTCATAATAATAATAATCTATAACAAAAAGTTTCAGGGCTGTGAGGAAGTCTTTTGAATCCATCCAGAGTAGAGGAGAAGTCTATTGACAACTTATTAACTATTTATTAAAAGAGTTTGTGGATCATTTTTGCTCTCCCAATTGATTCTTAAATTATTAAGTGAATGTCTTTGGGAGGAAGCCAGAATACCTGGAAGAAACCCTCACAGGCACGGGGAAATTCCACAGTAAGGCCCCAGATGGAGTCCAGACCAGGAGCCTTCTTGCTATGAGGCAACAGTGCTAACCACAATACCAGTGTTCCACCCAGTGTGCTCACTGTCTTGTCTTTTGTATTATATAAGAGAAACCACCAATGGTGAAGTTGTCCTCCTGGAACACATACAGAGAAATATAAGTTAACATAATATATATGTATGTATATATATATATATATATATATATATATATGGCCAATTTTTCAAATAAATAATGGCTATCAACCTTATGTTTCTTACAAGGTTAAGTCAGTAAAACACAAGCAGCATGTTCTTGCAATTAATAATTAACCATTGTATAACCATTATTTAACTTACAACCCTTGTATAAAGTGTGCCTTCTCATAAAAAGGGCAATAGAAGAAAAATGAGTTTTTAATTACACTGTCACTACTGTTGTATTTCTCTAGTGTGTACAAACTGTATATGCGACCGTGGAACGAGTCTTCATAAATCCTATTTTATTTTTCCCTGCTTAAAAAGATAGTACTGCTGATCAGTGACCCCATTTCTGACCGCTCTGTCCGTCTTGGTAACAGAACCCTGCTCACTTTCACCAGTGGAAGTAGCCTCTGGATCATTAATAATTCATCCATCTGAAATGGAATCCAGGTGCGCCAGTGGCTGTCAGACGCAGGATGGCCACTGTTAACATGGATGCACCTGTGAGTATTCATATTCTACACAGCATATAAATAGCATCTTTTTAAAGCAGGGGTATAGTCACATCAGAATAATGCAGAATTTAAAGGCACTCTTGTTGGAGTCTCTGTCATTGATCTTTAATGTTTTAGGGAGCTGACGCAGTGAGAGTGGGAGTTGTACTTGCAACAAAACCAGGTAAGGCTGGGACAGTGACAGTATACCTGAATATTTGCTATACTGTCACTGGAGAATGACTGTAACTCGGTTTTGAATGCACAGAGAGTAAAGAATCTGTTGTTATTGATGAAGAAGGACATAGTGTTTACTACAAATCATCAAATAATGAGGTAAGTCATTTGACTTCACACAGATGCTTCAGAAAGTATTTGTTAATTTGCTTTCAAGAAGATTGCTTACATTCTTTCAAACAGGCAGCCAAGGCCTTCTCTTTCGACCAAGTCGTGACTGTTGACAGCATAAAGGTACAAAACAGCTCCTGACCTCTTATTTTAACCTTTTTCTGCTCCACTGCACATATTTTCACTACCTGATATTTTGATGGCTGAAAACTGAAAGACTTGAGTGTAAATCTGCAGAGTTTTCACGCTGAGCTCCTGCAGCCTCTCACCGAGTGCATGTCCAGTGGGTGTAACGCAGCACTGCTGATATGTGGAGCCTCCACAGAGACGACGAGAGCTCTTATTGACAGTAGTGTCATCAGACAGGTGGAGCTCTAAACAAAACTGCATTTAATACTTGCAGATTTTTATGTGTTTATATTTTCAATCGTACCCTTGATTCGCTTGTAGGTCGTGGCTAACCTGTTCAGCTGTATGGAGTCAAGAGTGAAAGGCGAGTTATTCATCTCTGTGTCATCCCTTCAGGTTTGTCCTTGTATTCAGTAGCAGAGCCCCAAAGGATAATAGATGCAATAAAACACATGATGACAGCTAATGTTTTTCAATGTCAGTTTTATCCAGACGGCAGTGCAGTGGATCTCTTGAGCCTCAACAGACAGACTCTACAACCTGTAACACATCCAGCGCTTGGAAGGTGTGTCACAATTTTGCATTTTAATGATAAACAAAGACCTCATATAAAACATATACACACTGAAGCTGTATTATATATGCTCATGCCCTCTTTTCTCTCTCAGTCTCATAGGAGGATTATGTGAGGTGTGTGTGCGTTCAGCTGAAGAAGCTTATAATCTGTACGAAACATGCAGGGAAACACTGAAGGCGAACGCAGGCTCCATTTCCAGCCGGTAGGTCATACAAAGCACAACTTTTATGAACTCTAATCCATTTACAAAATCAATTTGGATCCATTCATTAAATTGGTTAATTGCAATAAATCCAAGTGCCTGAGCGATAAAAAATTTACTTCTGGCTTTTATGATTGAGTTGTTCTGCACGGTGTCAGTCAGCTTGCCCTTTTTTTTTTCATAAATTTCCATATGAACTTGTCAAATGTTTATGCTGTGTTTCTCTCAGATGTAGCTCCCTGTTCATGGTGACTGTTGAGTGGAAACTCCATCCAGAGGAGGTGGAGTCAGATGTCTGCCGCAGCAGATTTCAGCTGTTCAGCCTGGCAGGAGGAGCCAGTAGGACTGACCTCAGAGGGTCAGTGACATAGCCAGTGAGATCTCTGTTACATGGGCAAGTGGAACTTGAAATGATCTACCACAAACTGATAAAGCATTATTCTGATTGTGGTCATCCAGGAGTTACATTATCTCATCTGGAGGGAGATGTGCTATATTTATTTATTTATTTATTTTTTACCTCTGGGCTGTAGGCATAGATTATAGGAGATAAGTAGTATATATTGCTATTCCTGAACAAAATCCTCTTCTAGGAACAACTGCTTTTCTTGATGGATTCTTGTAGTTGAGGAATGTACCTGTTGTGACTTTCTCAGTAGGTGTTTTTGTAATAGAGTGATGTTGGGGCCAAATCTACACCAGTCAAAAGTGATTCTATATCTGTCCTATAAACAACTTTAAGGTAGCCAAAGTGTATCATCTGCCCCCCGTCTCACACTATCCCTTGGACTGTAATCTTATCTAAGGTCTTCCTCTTTTCCTCCCATCTGGGAGCTCAATGTTCAACATCCTTTGTCCAATTTATGCAGAATCCCTCCTCTGCACACATTGAAACCCTCTCAGCCTTGCCTCATTAACTCTGTCTCCAAACCACTCAGCCTGAGCTGTCCCTCTGATGTTCTCATTTCTAATCCTGTCCGTTCTGGTCACTTCTATTGAAAATCTGAGACTCTCCACCTCTGCTTCCTGTCTTTTTTATGTCAGTGCCAGCACCTCCAAACCATACATCACAGCAGGTCTCATTACCATCTTGTAAACCTTCCCTTTCACTTCTTTACCACCCCTGAACCTTGTGTC